CAGGTGGCAGTGGCAACTGTGAAAATAGAGACCCAATTAGTATACTTCATGTATTAGATGATGCTGACAGTAAAAGCACTATAAGTGTTGCCACTATTATACGAAAATATAATCTGTCAAATAATATAACACCACAAATTACTGACCATGATTACTTAGATGCACCTAATGTAAATATATTATCAGACATAAAAAATCTGCTATAGCATATTTTGCTGGATATGTTGCCAAAATGGCTGAAAAGCAATTAGTATGTATAAAATGCTGTAAAGCTATTGGTTCAATTAAGTATCGTCATGAATCTACCTTTCTTTCTTTTAAAGATAGAGGTGGTCTTTTCAAACCTTCAACAAGTGCTATCAAAGTGTGCGAAATGACTGAACAAAAAATTGTTAGAATATTGTCAACACTTTCTGGAAAGTTGCCCATAATAAAATCTGGTATAGTTAATGCTATTGCAATTTCAGTTTTAGAAGCAATAAATTTATCTTTAGTGTTTCAGGACTTAGATAATCATATGTTTGATACCCCAATTTATGAAAACCATATCTTTACTCTTGTTAAATTACTTGCTAAGTGCTACTGCAAAATAAGGTTGCATCAGCTTGGAAAATTGGAATCTGCAAAAGTTTCTGGAGTAAATGTCAGGAAGACTTTTAGCAAAATGGTCTTATTCAAAAATCAATGAAAGTATTAATCGCATAGAGAATTTATGTATCATAGTTTTGACGATTATTTTCGTATGATATTTTTTAATATTCATTTTTGTACTATTGCTATTTGAGTTTCTATTTTTTTAAGATAACAATTTTAAGATAACAATTTTTAAACATGACTTTTGGTTGTATATAAATGTTAACAAAATAAAAAATAAAAAAACTTTTAACAAAGCCACTGTAATACACTTATCTCTATATTATTTAGGTAGGGCAGCTGCATGTTCTTTATGACCTTTTTTTATTTATACCATATATATCTTTAAATCTTTCATGTAGATTGCATGATATGTCACCAAAATAGCAGAAAAACAACTTAGTTACAACTTAAAAACTTAGTGCTTATTAAAATTAAAACTTTTTCAAACTTTTTATAAGTGCGATAAAAGTTTGTGAAGCAACAGAACTAAAACTTGTTAGTATGTGATCATCAATATCAATTAAGTATTGTAAAATTGATATTACTTTTGCAGTCGTAGAAGAAATCAACATATCCTCAGATTTTCAAAAACTTTGAAAACCATTTAAAAAAGTTTTTGATACAATATTTATTTGGCATGTTTTACACTTGTAAAGTTACTTTCTCACTGCTATTATAAAGTAAGATTGCATCAAGTTGTAACAATAAACATCCTAAAGTAACCAGTAAATATTAAATTAATTTTCAGCAAAGTAGTTTCATTTTGAACATAAGAAAATTAATATAAGTAACAAATTCATACAAAACAAATACAAATTATCAAACAGTCTCTTCTTTATAGCGGTATTTCCTTTTGACTCTAATATTTTTTTTTAATTTTTAAACTTTCTAACATTTTTTATATAACAATATCATTGAAATATGCAACTTTGGTTGAATATAAATGAAGTAGAAAACTTTGGTTGAATATAAATAAAGTAGAAAGCAAAACATAAACAAATCTTCAAGCGCTATCTCTGTATTTTCAAATTCCGTTTAGCGTTCTGGGGCTTTCCAATATGGCGATTTTGGCGTCAATTTTGATATTAGAGATGCGCTATCCAGTTATTATAGAGATCAGTGGCTAAAAATGGCCGATTAAGTCGATACAGATGCCGATACCGAATAATCGGTACATCACTAATATATATATATATATATATATATATATATATATATATATATATATATATATATATATATATATATATATATATATATATATATATATATATATATATATATATATATATATATATACTTCGTATATTTTGTATAATGTTTTTTGTATAATAATGTACAAAAAACTTTTAAAATAATCTGGTACAACCCACCCTATAGCACAAATGTCACCACAATTATAGGAAAAAGCTTATTGAACTTGATTGTCAAACATTTTCCAATTTATAACAGTTTACACAAAATTTTCAAAAAAACACAGTAAAAATCAGCTACAGTTGCATGCCAAACATAAAATCAATAATAAATTTACACAACAAGCACATCCTAAACAAAAATCTAACCATTAATAAAGATAACTGCAACTGCCATAATAAAAACAATTGTCCTTTACACAATAACTGCTTGAACAACAACATTGTATACCAAGCAACCATCACTTCGGATAACCCTTCAATAAAAAAATCATTTATTAGTATTTGTGAAACATCTTTCAAGCTGAGACACGCTAACCATTAGAAATCGTTTAATATCCCCAAGTATAGAAACGATACAGAGCTGTCAAAGGAGGTTTGGAACTTGAAAGATAACGATAAAAATCCTGTGATCAATTGGAAAATAATTAAAAGATGTGAAGCATATAACCTGACAACAAAATTTTTTTTTCACTGCAACTTTCACCGCGAACGGACGTGTTTTAAGAGCTTATTAAAAAACTTATAATAATGGCGAAAAACTTTACACCAGCACAACTTAAAGAAATCCTTGAAAATCACGAGAATACTATGATGAAAATTTTTAATGATTGGATAGAAAAAATGTAAATTAAATTTAATAACTTAAAAGATGAAAACTTTACGTTAAAAAAAGAATTAGCTGAGGTACAGAAAGCTGTCGAATTTATAAGTAAAAGCTATGATAAAATAATAATTGAACTTACAGAATTAAAAAAAAACAGAATCTAAAAAATCACCAGATGAAAGTAATATTGAAAATGGAATTAATAACCCAGTGGGCACAAGAACGTTTTGCAAACGTTTTTAAAAAGTCTCGTAAAAACGTTTTTTAATAGTTTTTTAAAAGTCCATATGAAACGGTGACCGAACGTTTTCCTAAAAACGTTTTATGAACGTTTTTTAATGGTCCCGGAAAAACGTTTTTAAATGGTTTTTTAAAGGTCCATATGAAACGGTGACCAGACGTTTTCCTAAAAACGTTTTATGGACGTTTTTTAATGGTCCCGGAAAAACGTTTTTTATTGGTTTTTTAAACGTCCATATGAAGCGGTGACCGGACGTTTTTCTAAAAACGTTTTTTGAACGTTTTTTAAGGGCCTCACGAAAACGTTTTTTTATTGGTTTTTATTATGTCTAAATGAAGCAATTTGACGTTTTCAACAATTGCCCTAAAAATCTTTTTTATGTTTAAGTTATTTAAGTAAATAACTTATGTTATACAAAAAAAAATCTTCTACAAATAAAAATTTAGGTGCAACAGCCTAGGTCTGGATAATTTAATAAATTTCTAAAAGTTTAATTTTCTGTTTATTTATAATATAAGCATACAAAAAAAAAAAATCAAACATTTACAATATAAACATACAAAAATGTAATAAAATAATTGTTATGCTACTCTATTAAGAGCTCTCAACTTCAAATGATCTTCTACTTAACGACCAAATCGAACTTTGATGCATGCGACACTAATGTTTCTAAAAAGCAAAATACTATAGAAATCTCGTACATATTCCAACTTGGATTCCAACTAGTACATCTTTTCGAAAATAAAAAGTCAACATTTATTTACATACATGTTCCACCCATAGGCTTAAAACTTGATGACAGTTCATCATAACAATAAATTCCAGTAATGTTTCTTGGTAAGTCTTTTTTAACTTGATGAAAAAAAGTTCCATATATTATTTATTAACGTGTTGCAAATACTAACATATTTTCTAACTTGATGAAAAATATTTATCTGGTTTTATTCTAAACTAAACTTTTAATTAAACCAGATAACACTCTTTGAAAAACTTACATTCCGCAACCTTTTGCACTGTAATATCAAGACTTGCTTCTCTTGCAAAAACTTTTGTGATGTTGTACTGTTTTATTTAAAAATTAATGCTAAAAAACAAGTACAAATAACTGCACCCTTTAGTCTTCTATATAGACTTACATTGAAGTATTTAACTTATAACAAGATACAACACCAATTTAAAAAACTTTTCAAAAGGTTTGCATATATGTGAACTAAATATAAAAAAAACCTGTTTCTTGAAATTTCAAACTCGAAGACTCTAAAGTTTTGAATCAAACTTTATGCATGCATTACACATCTCTTCTTTACTCAAGTCAAGATATAGTTTCGTCAATATATCTTCTCACCATTCTTAATAAGTTTCTAATAATTCTTTATCAATATTTTTGTACTTACCTAATTTGCAGTCATTTTCCGAAATATATATAAAAAAATATTGTTTAATATTATTATGTACAAATTACCCAATAAAGATCCTGAGGAGAACAAGTTATTTTTAGTAGAAATTCTACTTGTATAAATAAAGTAGAGTAATTGGTAGCTGGAGCAGAAATAGTCTAGATAGAAATAGCTTCAAAAGATTTATTTACAAAATATTTTCAACTCAAACTTACCTTGTTTTCATTTTTTTTTGTTACTCATACTTAAGAATATTAGTTTTACTTTTTTAGTAAATTAAAAAAAAAAAAAATTAAAATAAATACTTTAAATACTTAAAAAAAAAATAATTATATACAATATATATATACAATATATATATATATATATATATATATATATATATATATATATATATATATATATATATATATATATATATATATATATATATATGTATATATATATATATATATACAATATATATATACAATAAAAATATATATATATATACACAATATATATATATACAATATATATATATATATATATATATATATATATATATATATATATATATATATATATATATATATATATATATATATATATATATATATATGTATATATATATATGTATATATATATACATATATATATATATATATAGTATACTTTTTTTGTAAAAAAAAAAATTTATATGTATAAGGTAAGTAAATAACATTTGTTATACAAATAAAAAGTTCTTAACCCTCTATAATGCCATTTTTTTTGGAAAAAACTGCTGTAGTTGGCTGAACATGTGCTGATTTAAAAAAACTGTATTGTTTTTAAAACATCAAACTAGACAAGGGAAATCACTCTTTAAAATCAAAAGTAAAGCTAGTAATGCTGAAATAAGAAAAATTTTGCTTTGTAGCCTAATGGCAACAGTGCATAATAGAGAGTTAATAAATAGTAATCTAGATGCATGACTTAGACTTTTAAAGTTTTTTTTTATTTATTTTGTATTCATTTATAATGCGAGCGTACAAATACTAAATAAATTATTTGTTATTCAATTCGATCTGGAGCTCTTTTCAAATGGTCGCCTATTAAATTATCGACCAAATCAAATTTTGTTGAATGTGACACTAATGCTTCTAAAATATAAAATACCATAGAAATCTTTCATGCATTTTAAAGCACATACAAAGAGGATTACATAAACACACTTCCACAAAAAACATTTTATATCAATATTTAAAAATTACCAATAATTGCTTTATATAATAATGTTTTTCTAAATGATTTTTTGCCATGCCTTCCTGCTTTGTTAAATAACGATTGAACATTTTTAGACATTGTTTTATCTAAAACTTTATTAACTGAGGCTGAAATTGAACTACCACCTATTTGCTTAAGTTGACGGACCTACAAAATTTATAGAATATCATTATCAATGCTATTTTTTAAATTGACATAAAATTAACAATATCATTCAATCAGATTTATTTAGAATAACACTATATATTAATATAAACAAAAAACATACCAACAAATGAAACTTTTCTTTATTATCTAAAAATATTTCTATTTCATCAAACTCTCTTATATCATTTGATTTATAAATATAAAATAAGGAATCTTCAGGCTCAGTCCTTCTTCCTAGCTTTTCCACTGCACATAAAGATTTTTGTATTTCAGATTTTATACTTGCTAACTCCACAAATATTGCATATTGAAAACCTAGTATAGATAGATTAGAACTATTTTAAGTACAAATTTTATACAAATTCAATAGAATCATCAGTTGATTTATTAAAAATTGTGTATACTGTGACAACTTTCAAAGAATAATAGGTTAATAATTATTAACATACGCCTTTCATCCATCGGTTTAAAGCTAGCTGGTGGTTTGTCATAAAAAAAAGTACCACCAATGCCTCTTGGAATAGTTTTTTGAACTGGTTCCAAAAATGAATCATGTTGACAAACAGATGACAAACTAGATTGAACTGTATTGCTTTGATAGAAATTTGAAAAATCTAAATCTTCTTCTAAATTCAAAACATTCTCTTCTTGATATTTCTGAGTAGATACTATCTTAGGATGTTTGCTAGGAGATTTAATAAATAATCTTGAAGAAAATAATGACGATTCAGCAACCTTTTCAACTGTAATGTCAGGACTTTTTTCTCTAATGTGAAAACGATTGCTGTATGTTGCACTATTACATTCTAAAATTGATATTAAAAAATAAATAAACAAGACTGTATTATTTCAATCAGGTAATTGCAATAAACTACCTGAACAAAGAAAACTGGCAACATTAATTTTAAAAAATATTTTAAAGTTTAAAAGTGTGTGTTAAATTTAAAAAAACCTGTTTCCTGAAAATCAGAATTGGAAGACTCTGAGTCAAACTTCATGCAAACATCGCCTATCTCCTTTGTTCCCTTGTCAAGATTTATTTTTAAATATATATTTTCTCTCCATCCTTTATCAGGTGAAACCCAATTACTAATATAGTAGTTTATTTGTTTTTTGTCCTTTGGAGGCCAATATACAACATTTTTGAGTTCATCTACCCAATGCACAGGTACAGTCATTTTCTTTTGTTTTTCATCTTCAATGATTGTCACAACAGAATAAAGTCTTTTAATTGGACTTAAATCAAAAACATAAAAAAGTGATTCCTCAAATTTATAATAAAAAAGTGACCACATAGATTTTCTTATGTCAGCATATAAGATTGTTTATAATTACAGTCAATATAAATAATCAGACCTATTTATATAATAAAATATAAACATTTTGTAAGTAACATTTGTAACAAAATATTTATTCAAAAACTGTTTTCTCATCAAACTTACCTTGTATTAGGTTGTGATCGTTTTCTTGTGACTGTTCTTTCTTCTTTATTATTCATAATTGAGAGCAGTTCCTTAAATATATATATATATATATATATATATATATATATATATATATATATATATATATATATATATATATATATATATATATATATATATACACTTATAAATAAGATTTGCCACCAAAGATATATGAAAATACTTATAGTTTAACATATAGTTATTATAAAGAATAAAAAAATTGAAAATATTGAAAAAATATCAAAAAACCAAAAAAACAGGAAACAATTGTAACAATAATAAAAGTAATAATAATAATTTATATAAATATTCTTTTAATTAATTAATACAACTCTAGTATAAATCATGTATTGAAATAAACATTAAAAGTAGTAATAGATAATAAAAAAGTTAAGCTTAGAATAAATTGTGCAACAGTGTACTAATAACAAAGCCATCTTTTACTGGTAAACAAACACATTTGTTAACCAAAGTATCTTTATGTTTAACCCTGACAACATGTCGAACATTACTTCTTAAGAAATATACATCTACATCCTTTGAGTTCAAAAAGTGTGTAAAATAATTATCCAAACAATCTTTTCTATAATAAAAGCACGAGTAATGGTCATTCCCAAAATCAACTTTTATGAAAACCACACCATGTTTGGTTAAGAAGCAACCATCTTTTAAGTTGGTATTAATTTTAGATTTTTTTTGCTCAAACTTAATAACATGATTGATTTCATCAAACCTTTTACATATTTGTGATATAGGATTATGTTTAGATCGAACTAATCTTTTAATCTGCTGTAAGAAATTTTCAAATGGAAAATCAGATAAACTGTCAAGAGGAGCATTGTAAAACACAACATCATCACATATATGCAGAAGACTATGTATGTTATAAACACAAAATAGTTAACCAAATATTTCGGTTGAGTTTATAACAAAGTATTTAATCAGCCGACGAGCATTCTCTATATTTGAGTTTCAAAACGCAGCATTACTGTTACATAAAATCCGTATTGAAATAGATAAACTTAGGAAATGTTTATATGTACGTAAATCAATGATGTCTTTTAACACTATTATGCCGTAATATAGTAAAAAAGAACGAAATTCTGTAGCTTTCCATCTATCTAAATCAGAGAGAGACCTAGGCTGTCTGGCAAAATCACTGGGCAAATTTCCATTTAGCTGCAATAAACTGTTTGAAATTCGGTCTAACATGTTTAAAGAAAATTTTCCATGATTGGTTCCTTTAATCCCACCCTTAAAAAAGTATAGAACTCTCCGAGTAGCTAATAAACAAACAAGGTGCATATAGTCCAAAGTAAACATGTTTATAAAAGCAAGGGAACGTACTTCACTGAATATAGATTTCTCATGTTAATGACATCTTCCATTGTGATCTCTGTCAGCATATGTATAGTTAAGAAATTCGATATTTGTACGCAAATCTAGATTTCCTTCTAAATGAGAAAAAACAATTCGATTTAATATATATCTTCCAACAATAGTACATCGTTCCCAAGAATGATAACCGGTATGATTAACTATACCTTTTAACAAGGAGCGAGCAGGGGCATCACAAATAAAAGCATAAATTTGAATCATGTAACTTTTGTCATTAACTACAAACGGAGTGGTTGTTATTATTTTTAACTCATCAGAAAAATCTTTTAAAAATAAATGACTTTTAGGCTTAATTGATCCACAATACATTCCAATCAAAAACGGATTGTAACCTTTAATGAGTCCAACAATAGGCCACAGCTATGTAGAGCTGGATTTGTACAGTGGTAAACCATCTATATTAAAGCTTAAAGAAATGTTGACATCAAGAATTGAATGACAAATTATTTGATTAGTGATCTGTTTTTTCAATCCAAGATATATATAATTCCCACCTTCAACATTTTTGGACCAAATACTTCTTTTTGTTTTTAACAAGGTTCTACAATCCAAAGGCACTTTGAACTTATATTCAGAAAATAAAGCTAAAATTTCATTGGTGCATCGTCTGGTACAGTTATTTTTAAGTGACCATTCCTTAATTTTTGAACATAAGACAAGATCATATTCTATTTTGTTATCAAATATCACATAAGAGTCAGAAAGATCAGTACTACTTTCCTTAAGTGCTGAATTTAGAGATAAATTATAATACTTAAGATCACTCTGAGATTTTGGTAATTTAAATTCGTCATAATTAGGTTCATTAAAATCATCAATAAATTCTGTTTCTACTTCAACAGCCGGATAATTATCAGTTTGGAAAACCAAAAAATCTTGCTGATTATTTCCAAACTTTTCTAGAACTGCATTTCTATGTTTCCTCCATATACTAAAATAGTTATTTTTATCTTATTTACATTTCATATATGTATTTAAAAAACTTAAATCATTTCAAAAAATTAATTTTATTATAAAAACTGTTCTTCAAAATTACCTTGAATTTGGTTGAGATTGTTCTCTTGTAACTATTTCTTTGCAACTCATCACTGAGAATATATACAAAAATATCTTTGTCTTATCTATAATTTACAATAATAAATATAAAAACTATAAATTAGAAATTAGTAGTTAAAAATGCATTAAAGAGTTGTTAAAATCACTTAATGATTTTATTATAAAACTTTATTATAAAAATGTATTACTATGTGTATAATAAATAATAAGAAATGTAAAATTTCATACATTAATTAAAAGAAACAAAGAATTGGCTTATATCTTTATCTATCTATATATCTATTTATTTATATATAAATATATATATATATATATATATATATATATATATATATATATATATATATATATATTATATATATATATATATATGTACATATATATATGTGCATATATATATGTGCATATATATATGTGCATATATATATATACATATATATATATATACCAATATATATATATATATATATAAATATATATATATATATGTGCATACATATATATACATATATGATCTGCTACATCAACTAACAAATAATTAGAATGCAAATAGTGCTGTTACATTGACTGAGGGTCAAAACACTACAATCACATAAAAATATATAGGCTATACATTCTATTTACTATATTTTTTTACTATATCAAATTTATACAAATTATTAAATTAACAGTTCTACTATAACAATAATTTACTATAACATTATTATAATATTATATAAAAATAATTCTATATGACCATATGAAAAATCATAAATTGTATAACAGTTACGTTGAAAAAAGCTTCATTGAAGTCGTTGAATTTGTAGGCGATTTATATATAAGCACTCCATTTACTTGTAAAACGTACACATATGTCGTTACACGATTACAGTTAACGCTTGTGAAACCTTTTTATAGGTCCTGCAAAAATAATATGTAAAGTAGTAAATTTTATTAATTTAAAACATTTTTAAGATGTTTTCCAAATACTTCAATTATAAAATTGTTGTTTGAGCAAACATAAAAATTATTATAAAATTGTCCTTCAAATGCTCCTGTGTTTATTAGAACCATTCATGTATTGGACTCTTTTTTCTCGATATTTTTCAAGCATCCTATAAAGAGCTCAGCTTAAATAATTGCCTATCAACTTATCTACCAAATTATATTTTTATGTTTGTGAAGCTAAAGTTTTTAACAACAACAACCACAAAAAATTCTAAATAAATTCTTTGTAAACTGCGTTTTATTTGCTCATTTAAAGGGTGTAACATATACACACATTTATAAAAGTAATGTAATTGAGGGCAAAGTCACACTATAAACGATATGTTAATAGTTTTACAAAAATACTTATAATTAATTATAGAACTTAAAAAATTTCATATTTAAAAAAAATACAAGTTTTTACTTTAAAAATTACCTTCATTAATTACTTTATTTTCAAATGAAATTTTTTCAAAAGTTCTAACTATTTTAAACAGACTTTAGGCATATTAATTCCATAAATATTGCATATTGAAAACCTAATAAAAATTTATAGAGAAATTAGAACAGAATGAAAGACAAATTAAAAATTCTAATGGTATTCATTGAAATGAACACCATAACATCAATTGAAAAATGAAAGGTCAACATTTATTAGCATATGTGTTATATGCTATATAACACATATGCTTATAGGCTTAAAACTTTACAGTAATTATCATAATAATAAATTCCAGCTATGCTTTTTAGGTAGTGTTTTTTAACTTATTAAAAAAAATGAATAAGATATTATTTTTTAACTTGTTAAAAATGCATACTTTTTAACTTAATCAACATAGAATGTTGAATAAAAATAGAAAAATCATAAATTACACATTTTTTGACAAATTTAAATTCAACAACTTTTTGCACTGTAATATTTAGACTTATGCAATTATGTTGCATCATTATATTCTAAAATTGTTATTAAAAACAAGTACAAAAAAAAACTATTTTTTGTCAATATGTATTCTAACCATTCTATATATGGTGAAATAAATTTTTTTGTGTGTGTCTTCTAAATGTACAGTCATTTTCATAAACTTTTATCCTCGATAATTGATACTGATAAATAAAGTCTTTTTATTAAGCTAAAAAAGTGTAATTGCTCGATTTTTCAAAGTTTTATTTTTTTAAATTATCCTATAATTGTCCTGAGAAAAAAAAAAATTACTTGTATAAAGAACAGTTTCTAGCTAGAGTAGAAATAGTCCTGCTAGAAATAACTGTACATTAAAAAACTTTTTTATAAATTATTTTTAATTTAAACTTACCTTGTAATAGGTTATGATCACTTCCTTGTAACTATGATTGCTTCCTTGCTGCTAACATTTGAGGATGGGAGTTTAACTTACTTAACTAATAAATATATATATACATATATATATATACATATATATATATATACATATATATATGCATATATATATACATATATATACATATATATATATACATATATATATGCATATATATATACATATATATATACATATATATATATACATATATATATATATATATATATATATACATATATATATACATATGTACATATATACATATATGCATATATATATATATATATATATTATATATATATATATATATATATATATATATATATATATATATATATATATATATATATATATATATATGTATATATATATATATATATATACTTATATATCTATATATATACATATATATCTATATATACATATATATATATACATATATATATATACATATATATATATATACATATATATATATATACATATATATATACATATATATATATATATACATATATATATATACATATATATATATATATATACATATATATATATATATATATATATATATATATATATATATATATACATATATATATATACATATATATATATATATATATATATACATACATATATATATATATATGCATATATATATATATACATATATATTTATATACATATATATATACATATATATATATATACATATATATATATATATATATATATATATACATATATATATATATACATATATATATACATATATATATATATATATATACATATATATATATATATATATATATATATATATATATATATATATTTATATGTATATATATATATGTATATATATATATATATATATATATATATATATATATATATATATATATATATATATATATATATATATATATATATAATATATATATATATATGTATATATGTATATAAAGTATAACTAAATAAAAAAATACAACTTTATAATGGAACTGAAAGTTTCATGCCTATATTCATATATATATATATATATACATTTAAATATACATATACATATAAATATACATATATATTATACATATAAATATATATATACATATAACTATATAACTATATAAGTAAATGTCATATCATATATTATCCACAACAGACAAATAATAGTCTTTTACATATGGCTGGTGTATCAAACCCAAGCCTCTCTGGTTTGGGTCCTGTCCACTAAGATTTTCAAACTTTTCTTGTTAAAAAGGGTTATTATTTTCATGCTAATAAATACGCTGTATTTTTAAATATGCTGAGTATTTAAAACTACAAATTCAAAAAAAAAGGCTTTTATTATTTATAGATATAAATTAAATTTTGTTAAGATATCTTTATTGAAACTGGAATTGTTGCGTCTGGTTTCATTAATGGTGTTTTATCAGGGAAACATTACAATCGGTCTGCGCGTTGTCATAAAATATTGTATGAAGCATTGCAACGTCTCTGCTTTCAATTGTTTTTGGATTCATAGAACAATGATGAAAATTTAGATTTCATTGAGTTTGCGTCTGCAATGAAGGAATGTATTGTTAAAGAGAATGATGATTTTAATTATGATAACTATAAGGTAAATAGTTTTCTTTCTTTTCATTTCAAGGCTGAAAAGTAAAACACTTAAGATGATTTTAATATACTGAACATATTTTTAATTGCTATATATTTGTTAAAGTTAATATTTTCTATAGTTTCCGTTAAAAGTAAAATGAATGGGAATTGTTAGACATTAGTATGAATCAAATCAACTAAATAAATAAAGCAATTATTTTTCAGGATTATGTTGAGAACCCAAAGTTTGAGTATATGTTTCTACGATACAAAGATTTTGTTGAATATTCAGTGCCGGGAAAAATGCAACATTTCACTCTAGGTATAATTACATAGATATTGATTCAAATATTGCTTTTACATATATGAGCTACACGCACTGGGGATTGGATGCTACATTTATCAGCTATTAGATCAATGCTTTCTTGGTTTTTCAAGAATGCTCCTTCATACTGGGTAGAAATGAAGCGATTGCCAATAACCCATCCGAGTATATTAAAGTTTTGCCTCATAGTAGATAAAATGCAATCTCCCTTTTATTTTAAAAATATATGCAGTGTCTTCATAAATAATGGCTAATGCAATTTTGAAATTTTAACTGTTTGATAATACTTAGAAAGTGTACTTTGTACTACAATTATAACTAATTTATGTGCCTATATTAATTATGTTTTAGATGTTAACAATGAAATTCGCAACAAATGAAGTTCTCAACGACAAGAACAGTATGGTTTTTCTAGAATTGCATGTGACCAGACAACCATCTTTTAAACAGTACTCAAAAAAAAAAAAGGAGGTATTGTTGTGATTTTTTGAATAATTCCTGGTTTTTGACACTTTCTGATATCATAAAAGATTCGCCAAATTGACGTTTGGTCAATTAGGCGAATCTTTTATGATATCAGAAAGTGTTATAAGTAGTTTGAAAAAATGCGACTGCTGTATGTATCAAACAAAAATCTTTTTGTAATTCTATGAATGAAATGAGATATCAGTTGCTTAAGTCAGGAATATATGACGAAGAACTGCTCCATCCGACTTAGGACGCTCTCAGATGTCACATTAGGCAAGTTAATTACCAATCATACGTATGGCAAAATGCAACTAAACCAATGCATAGCTTAGATGATTTCCGAAACCATGGATGGCTGATTTGA